AAAACAATCAAAAAGAAGAAAACCAGACTAAGAAGAAGCACAACAAAAAGAAAAAAATGTAACTATGCACAACAAGTGTGCTTTCATAGTTGATTACCGCGGTTGGAACAACAAACCCAAGAGTCCAATCGTTTGAATCTTGCAGCTACGTTTTGAAGGTTGAAAAAAAATGTAAATGGGCGAGTCTAGGACGAAGAAGAGTGTATGCCAGTTTATGGAATGCCCTATAACTGGCGATGAGGGCGCCAAATAGGAGTTGGGTTTCCAGCGAGTCCCAAGGGTATTGGGTCCGGCCTAACAAAGTGAGGCCTGCGTACTTCTAGCGACCGAGCTGCACGTTCAAACGCCTCTACTTTGGTTCTGTTTTTTTCTTTCTTCTTTTTTCTTACTTTTGTTCATATTTTGAAATATTCAACATATATGTCAAAAATTATTTTACCTAAGGTTTGAAAATTGTTCAGTGCACATTTTTAAAATGATCAATGCGCATTTTAAAAATGCTCATGTTGTGTAAAAAAAATAGTCGCACAATTTTGAAAAAAATAGATAGCATTCCAAAAAATATTCATGACATTTAGAATATGTTCAGGTGTTTCAAAAGAGTATCTATGACATTTAGAAAACGTTTATACATTGTAAAAATGTTTGAATGCCGTAAAAAATGCTTTGTACTATTCAAAAAATGTTCACGTGTTTCAAAGATATGTTCATTGCACTGTTAAAATATTTATCAATGTTAAAAAATGTTCGCATAGTGTAAGAAATATGTTTTGTACCATTATAAAAAATGTCAATGTATATTTGGAAAAAGGTTTTACATGTATTCGAAAAGTGTTCATACATGTATCTGGAAAAATGTTTATACAATGTAAAAAACAATATTCGCAAATCTTTTGTACTTTCAAAAAAAATGTTTCCATGTGTATTTCAAAAATATTTTACATGTATTTAAAGAAAATGCTCAAAACATGAATGTGTATCAAAAATATGTTGCACACAATGTAGAACGTGTATTGAGAAAATGTAAGTGTACTGAAAAATGAAAAAGGGAAAAAAGAAAGAAAAAACCATGAAACCAATAAGGAA